AGTGAAAAACATTACAATATGACTTCGAAGGCAAAATACGGTGTGGTTTGTGCTTTTTAAAAATAAACATTCATGCGAATCCTAAATAGTATTTATTTATAGTTTCTTTATTCAAAATATAAAAAAGTATATTTTATTAAATTACAGTTTACTATTGGATCAGCACTACTATTTTTTGTACGACCTAAAATTCAACAATAAAAAAAATAATAGCATGCATAGTTGGTCGCGTTGTTCTCGCAGATACATCCATTCTAATTACGGCTTTTTAAAAATTAACAATCATGTGAATCCTAAATAGTATTTATTTATAGTTTTTGTATTCAAAATATAACAAAAGTATAGAAGGGGTGGTCATAGTACTCTACTGGAAATTGCAGCTATGGTTTCCCATATTTACGAAATTACTTGTTGGTGACTTTATCTCTGTAGGCCAAAATTAATTAAAAAAAAATAAAAATTTATTGTCCTGTGGCCGAGCCTTACCTTGGTTATAGAACTCTTATCATGATATCGTATGAAGGTACAGGATTGAAAATGGTGGATGTTCTGTAAAATTAATAATATAGATTTAATAAGTCCTTCTGTAAACAATATCATTGAATTTTTAAATGAACAATTTCTTAAAGGCTAAAGTTACTCTATTTTCAATACTTTTAGATCGTGTTGAATATTTTGTCAAAGTATACAAACTTCGTCCTACATTTTCTAGATATTGTCATACGTGGTACTCGTAATCTCTTTTATCTTACTCATTATCTTTATACTTATACATACTACTTGCTCTTTGCACAGCACATAGGATAAAAACTATTTCAAAAATAGAGATAGGGAATATTCGTAACCTGGGGGAGAAAATTGAGATATTAATGCCGAAATTATTGAAATCATCCGGTCCAGGTTATGATCAGCCTAAGTTAATAATATCTTTCTTAACTAAATTAATAAGAGAAAATATTGAAAAATTACTAATTATACATCGCAAGCCTTACCATGCAGCATCCTATCAGATTGTTTTAAGGTAGATAAAGAAAAGAATAAAGAAGGCACTAATACGAATATTTCTTAAGCCTTCATATTTGAGGCATGCCGCTTCTTCAGCGGCATTTACAGCTGGAGTTAACATAGAAGCGATTAGAGCTGCAGCCGGTTGGTCAAAGATTTCCCAGGATGTTATAAAGTTTATAACAAATCGCTCATCAATGACAATGAACTAGCTAGAAAAATTAACTCCTGATTTACAAATTAGAAATCTAAAATTTGTTTAATTTAATATAAATACATCTATTCGTATTTTGATATGGTATTAGATTATAATTAAAATAGTTAAATAATGAAAACATATAATTTGTTATCTTGTTCTCTTTCTTGTATTATTTTCAATGGAAAAAATAAATAAGAATTTTGATAAAATGGTATTAATTAAAGTTACTTATTAATATTATTATAAGGACTTTACTTATAATTATATAGGACACTACTTAAAAAAAGGGCATCGAAGAATATCGCTCCCGTGCTTTAAACATCTACGGCTTTGAAAAATTAACAATCATGCGAATCCAAAATAGTATTTATTTAGTTTTTTTTATTTAAAATATAAAAAAATTTATATAATTAATAAGTTATTCAGAAGAATCATTATTTTCTATATCAGGATTAAAACATTTGTCGCAGATTGTTCTATCATGTATTTGGCAGGCATCTATTTTTGTACTTATCTAATTAGTTTATTTTGTGGCAACAAATTTTTAAATTAAGAAATACAGCTGTCGTAATTCATAAAAATATTTAAAGCAATGAAGATCTAAAGTTTTCCGTTTGCATCTATTTATGTCTCTAATTAGTTTATTGAGAATATTAAATTTTCAAATTGGGATTTTCGGATGTCATTCTCAAAAACTATTTAAAATAGTTTACCCGAGCGTTACATCTATTTATGTTCTTATCTAAATAGTTTATTGTGATAATCTTCACTTGTCTTATTACATTTAGCAAATATTAAATATTATAATGCCATGCGATATTTGCAACCAATATTCAAAGGCACGTGAAGAGATAAAAGAGTCATCTTTATATATATTTTTTAAAGGTTATTACCAGAATGCTCAGTGTGACCCATATGGCAACCTTAGAAATCCACATGATGATTTTTCACAAATTAAAAGCGCCATTGAAACAATATTTCAAAGCAATTTTATAACGTTTATAACTGAGCCAAAAATGTGTGAGCGGTATATTAATATTTGCAAAGATGTTTCGTACACACATTTGTGCCCGCATTTTCCCAAAAATTTGTAATCTATTTATATTTAAGAGTTCGTTTATATTATACTTTGAAAAAATAAAAATTTTAATAATATTAATAAAAATAAGTTAATTATATGGCACCATGCACAACATTTTAAAATGTATGTACTTGTACTATTGTAATATAAATATTTTTTAAAGGAAAAAAAAATATGTACCTACTTGTTATCTAAAAAACGTGTTCTTTATATTCCTCACCAAAAAAAAACACCTGACATTAAAAACAAATGCTTTAACAAACGAATAAGTCAACAATTAAACAATGTTTTATTTCCTAAATTCATTCTAATACGTTCCTGACACAACATAGCCGAAAATTCCCAAATATTCCTAATCCGACCCCGACTTCTAAATCGAAGTGACATAAGCAAGGTCAAATTTCTATTTTTAGAAAGGGGCGGGAGTAATACTGCTGGTTATTTATTATGCTGTGCTGCTGTCCTAGCAAGAAAGGTTTTATCTACAAAATTAGCAGTTTTTTTTTTATGTACATTTGTCTACATTTTATCTTTCTTGATACTGAAACAGAATGTCTTATTAGCATCAAAGATACTAAAATGTTAATAAGTTACCCAAAAAAGGTTTAAAAGATAATAAATATATCTGTTTAAAATAGTTAAAAACTCGATTATTTTAAAACAACAAATTTTCACATAGGACCTCTCTTGCTAGAATGGCAGTAGGTATATGACTTCTCTGTTTTTGTATTTTTATAGTTGGGAGTAGGGTTATGAGTATCGGTCGAAGGTATCAATACCGATATCATGTGAGATACTTTGTGGTAGAGGTATCGATACTGTTCGACATTATGTTAAAGATATTGATATTTATAAGTCTCGAGTAACAAAGTAACAAAGACTACAAGTTGTAGTGTCAATAACTGGCAATTTAACTTATAATTAAATAACAAAAAAACAGTGATAACGCTTAATCATATTACCAAATATCACCACATGCGAAAACTAAAATATTTCAGTACAAATATTTGAACAAACCTTATTATCCCTGACCATACACATAGTGATACGATATTTGCTTCTAAAGTATCCATATGGCGATAGTATTGGTAATTCAGTATCAATGCCTAAATATCGATACTTTCATTGTTTAATATCGTTACTTCTATAGTATTGAGACATCTATAAGATCCCTATTATCGTGTAAAATATAGGAAGTCATTTAATTGTATCTACTCCTTTAACGATGATTTATTTTTTATTGTATTTGGAAACTGAAATAGGTATTCAATCTAAAACAACAGACAATAAATTAGAAAATATGTTTATATTTTATTAAAAAGACGAAAAGAACTTACCAAACTTATTCAAACGTATAAATAGTTTACAATTTCTTTAAAATCTCAAATACCACAAAACTTCGTGTCAAATACATACATTTTGTTGGTTATGACAAATGAATGGCTACATTCTAAAACAAGATGATGTTAATAGTAATTCTCGTGGATACTTTTTTAGCAAGTTACATTATTACGTTCTGTTATCATAACAGGCAGGTTAAATACGTAAGTAACAAATAGATGTTTCGCGAGGTTTGGATTTCCCTCAACAACTTCTCATGAACGTTGCAGTTACGTTGTATGGTAATGTTATTAAGTTCCCTTAAAACAACATCGCCGAAAAGCTTGGCAACGTTATGTGCTAGCTGGGAATATGAAGTTTATTAAGAACAAATATCGCAATTGACTTACAGATGAACATTTGGATAATTGTATTCGAATGGCTGTATCAAATTATACTGCTAACATTAAAAAAATTATCGATGAGTCCAAGTGTCAGCCTTCTCATTGAACGTGCTTGTTTATTTTTCAATGTTTATGTTCATGATAGTGCGTTACTTTTTTGTTGTTATTATTAACTATTTTTAAATCTTACGTGACATGCCGTTGTGGCTGGATAAAAGTTTGTGTTTATTTTTCAAACACCTTCGTTTGGTAGGTAGGAATGTAGCTATGAACAAGTACGTACTAGTAATATTAGTTATTTTGTTATTAGTTTATTATTAGTACCTATGTATTATGTATTACCAGTTAAATAGTAAAATAAATACATATAATGATAAATTACGTGGCTTCCGTGTGGGTAGCTCGCTGTTTATTCCAAAATTAACAAAGTAGCTCAACACATTGAAAGGTTGGCGACCACTGACTTAGAGTAAGGATTACTTCAGAATGAATCTGAATCCATATCAAAGATTTCTTCTTGTGTAAATTTTGATGAAATTTTTCTCAGAGTAAAGAAATTTAAAAGATCTGGATTCTTATTTGGATCGGCGCGCCTATTCGCTCGCCGATAGGTGTGTTTTACAGAAAATTCTCAAGTTCTACTGCAGCTTGGTGTAATTATTTTTCTTTGACTGTTGTTAATCTTCAAATGATATTTTTAAAATTGTAATCTCCACCGATTATAAATTTAATACCTACTTTTCTTGAGTACATTAAAATAATTTTATTTTTTCTGGTTGTGTCTTGGTGGGAAATAAATTGCAGCTATTGTTATTTTGCCCCCCTTAGTTATTAGACTTAGTGGTTACCTTTCTGAATTTGTTGGATGAATAGTTTGATAGAAGTTATATTCTCTAAATTTATTCTTGTCGCATTTTAAATTAATAACTATTGATTTTTCTCATAGAAGTTCCTTTGAATCTGTAATAATATCATTTTTATTCGTATACAGGGAGTGCTACTTTCTGTACCAGAAGCAACGGAAGATTTGATAGCCATGAAAAGATTATGGGTACATGAAGTTCTCAGAGTATATTACGATAGACTTGTCGATGATAGTGATCGTCAATGGATTTGCCAAGCTCTACAAGAAATTTGCAGAACTAATCTGAATGAAGAAATGAATAACATGTTTAAAAGATTAAGGACTGGATCAGCACCGGTAAACTAGTTTTTTTATTTTATAAATGTGTGTAACGAAATGATATGAGTTGGAAATACAAAATTATACTGATTTATTATTTTAATATTTAATAATGGCCGCCCAGTTTTGTTACTTATCTATCTATCTATATGTATTTTAAATTTCAATAGCAGCCTGTAGTGCGAATCAAATTACTGTCCTAATTTGATAGTATGTGTTGAGCTGAATATGTTTAGGAACAGCAGGTAAAATAAGGCAAAACGAGAAAGATCCAAATTGGCATATTTTCAAAGTATAACCGACAATTTAATAATCTAAAATAACACTGACAAATAAATTCATAAATAACTTGATACATCGAAACGCAAAAGTACTAGCTCTAAGTACCTTATTAACACTTCCCCTGGAAATAAAGCCTATTTATTTAGTTCTTGAGTCCTAGCATTTTAACACATGATTCATGCTTATCTCTAGGTAGTTCCTTAGTAAGTATATCTACCGGCATACTGGCACTAGGTGTATGTAAAAGGTTCAGCTATTTCTATCGAAATAGCTTCTCTTATGAAGTGGTATCTCATGTGCTTACTTCTGGCACGGAAGGTTGAGTTTTATGGCACTAAGATTGTCATTGTAAACGACTATATTTGACTGAGTTTAATCTTGTAGTTTTAACTTAAACAGTAACTTTTCCAGGTATATCGCTTCTTTAGCAGCTTCAATGAGTCCCATATACTCTGCCTCTGTGGTGGAAAGAGCAACTATACGCTATTTTTGCTATCCCAGGATATCGGGCGACCATTTAACATAGAAATGTAATTGGTGAAGGAACGCCTATCATCTGCATTGTTCCCTCAGTCAGCATCCACGTACCCATTTATTTTTTTTGGTTGTACTTGAAGTTTAGTCCTAAGTCCACGGTACCCTTTAGGTACCTCAGTAAGTTAATGCCCCAATTAGCTCTCTGTATGGAAATTTTCTTTCTCAGTGAGTTCTTCGATAGGTTTACATAATTTTACATTTTGATATATCGGAGTGCATACTGGATTTGCATAATTCATATGAAAACGTTCAAGAAGTTCATTGATGTAAACTATTTGATGTAAAGTGACACCGTTTTGATGACGAACGAATTCTATTCCCAGACATTAACCTACGTCTCCCATGTCTTTGATTTCTAATTTGTCGATAAAAAACTGTTTAAAATTCCTTATTATATCTTCATTTCTAGAACCAATTAAAATATCATCAACATAAATAAGTACAAGCATCTAGTTCTGGTTTTCACATATTCGATAGAGGCAAGGATCAGCAGAGGTAGGTTCAACCCCGAACGAAATCAGGTCTTTATTTAGCTTTTTATTCTAACTTTTTCCTGACTGCCGTAACCCGTATAGAGATTTCTTTGGTAGTCAAGCTTTATTACCTTTTTGTAGATCTCTGAGCATATCTGATGCTTTAGTTTTAATCTGCTTTGTTCTGCCGTCAATCCGCGTAAGACCCAAATTATTGATTTTAACCTCCTACAAGTGGCCTTGACAAATAGTTCTCGTACCAGTGGCGTATCTGAATGTTTTCCCAGGAGAGTTTACTTATTCAATGTCGTTAATATTCTGGAAATAAAACTAAAACGTTATTTATAACATTACACTACACCAACACTTTTCTAAGGGTCTATTTATACTCACTTACTATTAGTATTTGTATTAGTATTAGTATTATTAGGCATTAAACTGTAAAAAATATTAAAAAAGGGTATTTATACTCGTTTTATATTTAGTATTAGTGCTTCTTTTTTAACAATCTTTTTCCTAATTTTCTATATACAGGGTGTTATTGAAATACACGTACATATTAAAATGGGGAATAGTATGTAATGACCAAAAACGATTGGCACCAATTTTAACTTCAAATTCTAAAATTTAAATATTGGGGAAGAGTCCCCTTTTCCGACCTACTAGTTTCCATATTTAAAGAAGTAAAATAAATCGAAATTGAACTTACCCATAGAAATTGCACTGTTGCCGTAGCAAAACCAATTAATTCAAAATAAAGTTTATTACAGTAATTGTTTAAAATGCCGTCCATTATTATTTACACACACTTGCAATCGTCTTTCCAAAGAACTTTGAACATTAGAAATTAGTCTTGGATTTTGTCGTAGTTCCTCGGCTACCGCATTAACTTTATTGGTTAATTGTTCAACACTATTAATAGGTTCATTATAAACCAGTTGTTTCATGTGACCCCACAAAAAGAAATCGCATGGATTTAAGTCCGGAGATCTCGGAGGCCACTTAGTAGGTCCATTTCTGCCTATCCACTTTTGAGGAAATCTAATGTTCAAAAACTGCCGTACGTTTAAATCAAAGTGAGGAGGAGCGCCATCTAGTAGGTACCACATCCGTTGCCTTAATTGTAACGGTATCTCTTCTAGGAGTACTGGCAAAATATCTTCTAAAAAGTGGAGATATCCTGGCCCATTTAATCTGTTCGGGAGAACATAAGGCCCGATTAAATACTGATCTATTATGCCAGCCCAAACATTTATTGAAAATTTTCTTTGATGCCCAGTTTCCCTAATGGCGTGAGGATTTTCATCACTCCAAATATGCGTATTGTGCATATTGAACACGCCATCACGAGTGAATGAAGCCTCGTCAGTATACAATAATATTTTTAGAAAATCAGGAATATCAACACATTTTTGAATCATCCATTCACAAAACTCCACTCTCTTTTCTTCATCACCTGGATATAAGGCCTGGACTTTTTGGATGCGATAAGGATGTAAACCTTGTTCTTTAAGTGTCCGCCACACAACAAATGAGGACACTCCAATTTCAAGACCTAGTCTTCTACAACTTAATTGAGGCCGGTTTTCAACAGCTTCCAATATTTCTTCTTCGGCCGCCAATGTTCTTTGTGTTCTTGTTCTCCCTCGATCTGCATTGACACTCTCAAATTTTCCATGGTCTCTTAGATGCTGAACAGTTGAAATAAACGTACGACAGTCCGGAATTCTCCGATTTGGAAACCGTTCGCGATACAGGATTTGTGCTTGCCGAGAATTTTCTCCAGCTGCCCCATAAACCAGCACTATATCCGTTAGTTCAATATTCGTAAATAGTGGCATCGTAAAAAAATATTTAAAAGTAATCGTAACAACACTTTTTACCAACTTGGAAATGACGCGCTCATGTTAGCCAGATTCGTAAATCAACTAAAATTTTAATAATCTATAGTTTCAAAAATGTATAGTTTAAAAACAATCATTTATCAAATATTCTAGTTTTTTGATAACGAGGGTAGTAAAAACCAGTCTTCGGAAATAGAAATTAATTCGAAAATCTTGGCAACATGGTTATTTCTTACAAGACTAGTTTTCTTATCATCTGACAAAAACTTGCATATTAATTACTGTTGATGTTTAAAATAGGTAAATAAACCTAATTTATATAGGTCATCCTCAACATATCAGTGAAGTACGTTTGTTTTAGAATTAATTTTCAAAAATTAATAACTCCCTTAATAAGGGGTATTTTTAGAAAATAATATTTTTTTACATTCAGTGGGGATCTGCGCAATACCCTGTTTTAATATGTACGTGTATTTCAATAACACCCTGTATATAAAATTGTTTGTCCTGACTGACTGACTTATATCAACCTATAGCCAAAACTACTGAGCCTAGAAAGCTGAAATTTGGAACATAGGTTTATTTTATAACGTAAGCATTCGCTAAGAAAGGATTTTTGGAAATTTTAACTTTAAAGGGGGGAAAATTGGAGGAAATGGGGGGAAGGAGCTTTTAATGAAACTCTTTGTTCTTTAAAGTTAGAAGCACGAAAATTTAAATTACAGCTATTTAGCATAAATAAATAATGACTTGTTTCAGAGTTTTGGATTTTTACATTTGAAGGGGGGGAAAATAGGGGGTGAAAGTTTGTATGGGACTATCGATTTTTTTTGTTCTTTTTAAAGTTAGAAACATAACAATTGGAATTGCAGCTACTGCATACAAATTATTAAGGACGTGTTTCAGGGTTTTTGGATTTTCACATTTTAAGGGGGAGAAATGGGGGGTAAAAAATTATTTGGGAGTATCTGTTTTTGGTTCTCTTTAAAGTTAGAAACATGAAAATTGAAATTGCAGCTAATGAATACAAATTAATAATGAGGCGTTTTAGGGTTTTTAGATTTTCACATTTGAAGGGGGGGAAACAGGGGGTAAAAGTTTATTTGGAAATATCGATTTTTTTTTAAAAGTAGGGACTTGAAAATTTGAATTGTAGGTTCTTATCATAATTAATTTATGAAGTGTTTCAAGGTTTTTGTATTTTAACATTTTAAGGGGGGAAATAGGGAGTGAAAATTTGTTTAATAGTATGTATATATTTTTTTGTTATTTAAAGTATGAAACATAAAAATTTGACTTAGAGCTACTAATTAAAAATCAAAAATGATTTGTTTCATGGTTTTTGGATTTTCACATTTTAAGGAGGGAAAACGAGGGTAAAAATTTGTATACAAGTATACATTTTTTGAACCTTGGAGCTTGAAAATTATAATTGTAGACTAAATAAATAAGGACGTGCTCTGTAGTTTTTAGATTTTTATATGGTAGTATCATGAAAATAAACTAAAATGTAAAAAAATAATTATAAAAAATTATTAAAAATAAATAAAAATAAACAAAAATTATTAAAAATTAATAAAAATTAATAAATATTAATAAAAATTAATAAAAATTAATAAAAATTAATAAAAATTAATAAAAATTAATAAAAAATTAATAAAAATTAATAAAAATTAATAAAAATTAATAAAAATTAATAAAAATTAATAAAAATTAATAAAAATTAATAAAAATTAATAAAAATTAATTAATAAAAATTAATAAAAATTAATAAAAATTAATAAAAATTAATAAAAATTAATAAAAATAAATAAAAATTAATAAAAATTAATAAAAATTAATAAAAATTAATAAAAATTAATAAAAATTAATAAAAATTAATAAAAATTAATAAAAATTAATAAAAATTAATAAAAATTAATAAAAATTAATAAAAATTAATAAAAATTAATAAAAATTAATAAAAATTAATAAAAATTAATAAAAATTAATAAAAATTAATAAAAATTAATAAAAATTAATAAAAATTAATAAAAATTAATAAAAATTAATAAAAATTAATAAAAATTAATAAAAATTAATAAAAATTAATAAATATTAATAAAAATTAATAAAAATTAATAAAAATTAATAAAAATTAATAAAAATTAATAAAAATTAATAAAAATTAATAAAAATTATTAAAAATTAATAAAAATTAATAAAAATTAATTAATAAAAATTATTAAAAATTAATAAAAATTAATAAAAATTAATAAAAATTAATAAAAATTAATAAAAATTAATAAAAATTAATAAAAATTAATAAAAATTAATAAAAATTAATAAAAATTAATAAAAATTAATAAAAATTAATAAAAATTAATAAAAATTAATAAAAATTAATAAAAATTAATAAAAATTAATAAAAATTAATAAAAATTAATAAAAATTAATAAAAATTAATAAAAATTAATAAAAATTAATAAAAATTAATAAAAATTAATAAAAATTAATAAAAATTAATAAAAATTAATAAAAATTAATAAAAATTAATAAAAATTAATAAAAATTAATAAAAATTAATAAAAATTAATAAAAATTAATAAAAATTAATAAAAATTAATAAAAATTAATAAAAATTAATAAAAATTAATAAAAATTAATAAAAATTAATAAAAATTAATAAAAATTAATAAAAATTAATAAAAATTAATAAAAATTAATAAAAATTAATAAAAATTAATAAAAATTAATAAAAATTAATAAAAATTAATAAAAATTAATAAAAATTAATAAAAATTAATAAAAATTAATAAAAATTAATAAAAATTAATAAAAATTAATAAAAATTAATAAAAATTAATAAAAATTAATAAAAATTAATAAAAATTAATAAAAATTAATAAAAATTAATAAAAATTAATAAAAATTAATAAAAATTAATAAAAATTAATAAAAATTAATAAATATTAATAAAAATTAATAAAAATTAATAAAAATTAATAAAAATTAATAAAAATTAATAAAAATTAATAAAAATTAATAAAAATTAATAAAAATTATTAAAAATTAATAAAAATTAATAAAAATTAATTAATAAAAATTAATAAAAATTATTAAAAATTAATAAAAATTAATAAAAATTAATAAAAATTAATAAAAATTAATAAAAATTAATAAAAATTAATAAAAATTAATAAAAATTAATAAAAATTAATAAAAATTAATAAAAATTAATAAAAATTAATAAAAATTAATAAAAATTAATAAAAATTAATAAAAATTAATAAAAATTAATAAAAATTAATAAAAATTAATAAAAATTAATAAAAATTAATAAAAATTAATAAAAATTAATAAAAATTAATAAAAATTAATAAAAATTAATAAAAATTAATAAAAATTAATAAAAATTAATAAAAATTAATAAAAATTAAATTAATAAAAATTAATTAAGAATAAATAAAAATGAATAAAAATTAATAAAAAAGGAAGTCATGCATTTTTAATGTTAATAACACGACTACATGCGAGAAAAGTCGCGAGCAAAGCTGCGGGCAATGCTAGTAAGATATAATTTTACAGTCAACAAAATGTTGGTTACTGAAGAAATGTGTAATAGGCCAATTGTGTTCTTAGAATATTTTTTAAGATATTTCAATTTTAAATGTGTTTTTATTACTATTTTTACTAGTTAATTTTATTTAAAAATATTATTATTTAAAAATAGGTTTAATTAAGGAAATTTTAACGGATTTACGTCTCAAATTTATAACAGATAAAAAGAAGCAGAAATTTGAGACAAATCAGACATAAAAAGGTCTTTGCTTCCTCGTGCTGACATTTCATTTGTCAACTTTATACTCGGTAAACATGATTTGTACCGAAATATTATTCGTTTTCTGACAACATGATCATACGTGTATTGTTAATTTTCATTATCTGTTATAAAAAATAAAGGCCGTATACATCATTGATTCATTTGATAGAAAAGAAGAAATTTAAGATTTAACATATAATAATAGTCACAAATCGAGTATAAATGTCCCCATCACATTGTGAAGGTTTCATTTAATCCTTAATCATAATACTTATGCAAATACTAATAATAAGAGATTATAAATAGACCCTTAAACTCAAGGTCTCGACCCGACATCCCGACCATAAGTAATGTTTATTTCTTGCATTAGCTGTAAATGCTCTGCACTAATCGCATTTGATATGTTCAGTGCAGCTTCAAATATTTGAGTGTGGTATATACTTTTGAGAAATATGACAGTTCGAATACAGTGCGACTGTAACACTAGTGCAACAAATAAAATTTCAGACTATCAAGCCAAATGCGCGGCAAGCTATGCGCAGAATTTGTATTTATGGCCAATATAAAAAGCTGTTATTGAATAAACTGTGCCCTTAACTATCAATTTCCTTTTTAAATATTTGATAAAATTAAGAGTTGCCTTCACTCTCACCCTCTTTACTAAACAATTTTATTTTAGATTGGAGAACCAGAATTACGAAATTTAATTTATTGCGATTTTGCGAACCCGAAAGCAGATACTAGAAATTATATAGAAGTACATAATATAGATGCATTAACAAAAATAGTTGAAGGTTATCTTGCCGAATTTAACAATATGTCGAAGAAACCAATGAACCTAGTACTCTTCAGGTAAATGTACAATCTAAAGACGAATATATACCGTTATTTTATGTTTTCACTCACTATGGAAAAACGTGAGAACTTGTCAAATTTTTAATAGTTCGTGTATTTGACAAGATTGAAAATATTTAAAAACGTTTTTGTTTTATGACAAATTTTGAATATTGATTTAAAACTTTAACACCCTGTATCGTAACTAAGCCATTTAAGGGTTCATGTTCCTATATCCAAATATATCAAATTAACGAAAGTTTCTGTAGTAGAACGTTGTCTGTCGATTATATTTACCAACACCGTACCGCTTCTGTTTTTTCGGGTGCTAGCCTAAGATCATGTCTAATAATCCAGTTACTGACTCTCTCTAGTGTGTAATTAATTGTCATCATTAGTTCTTCTTCTGTCCTGTCTGTAGCTATTATTGCTAGGTCATCCGCGGTCTTTACGTTGTCTGGAAGCTCAATGTTTAACACTCCGTCGTATAATATGTTCCAGAGTAGAGGCCCCAAGACTGAGCCCTGGGGAACGCCTCCTGCTATATAGTATAGTTTACCGTCGGTATCTAATATTTTGCGATCAGTGAAATAACTTGCTATTAGTGATCTAATGTATTTGGGCATTTTTCGTCTTCTCAGTTCATCCATTATCCTGTTCCAGTTCGCTGTATTTAACGCGTTTTTTATAGCTATATCAAGCTAGCTGGCACTCTGTGGCGGCACCATTCAAGACCTGGCGGTTTTTTTGTAGCTTTTTTGTTACACTATTTGCAAATTTGTAGCTTAGCCCAGGTCCGAAAAAATAGCGGATCCGCTAGCTTGAATTTCCATAAATTTCATAGTAGCGGCACAGATTCAGACCCAGCTGGTTTTTCGTAACTTTTTTGCAGCTTTTTTTGTTACGCTAGTCTCCTTTTTGTAGCTTGTACTGAACCTGAGAAAAGGGCGGATCCCCTAGCCTAGCCGATATTTGTAGCGGCACCAGCCCGGACCCGGCTCATTTTTTGTAACTTTTTTGTAGCTTTTTTGTTACGCCTGTCTCGATTTCGTCGCGGGGCCTGAACGTGAGTAATAATCGTTTCTCCATGAGCGAGAGAGAAAAGTGCGTTAATTTAAAATCAAGTTTCGGCCACTACAAGTGATATGTGCAACTCGATAGTGTGACTATCTGTTGCTAGATGGCACCAGTATTGCATTTCACGAATTATGGCCATCTTCCATCCAATATATTTTTGAGAAATTTAGATATAGTCTCAATTTTGTCAGGTTCAGTACAAGCTACAAAAGGGAGACTGGTGTAACAAAAAAGCTACAAATAAGTTACGAAAAACCAGCTAGGTCTGAATCTGTGCCGCTACTATGGAAATTCAAGCTAGCGGATCCGCTGTTTTTTCGGACCTGGGCTAAGCTACAAATTCGCAAATAGCGTAACAAAAAAGCTACAAAAAAACCCACCAGGTCTTGTATGGTGCCGCCACAGAGTGCCCGCTAGCTTGATATAGCCGTTTTTTATATCCAGAGTGACCAAGGCGCAGTAGCCTCTAGACCTTTGGTTCTTGTTTCGTTCTCTTTCCGCTATCTGTACTACTTCACTGATCGCGTCAACTGTAGACTTCCCTTTTCTGAAGCCATATTGTCGCTGAGATAGATTTTCGTTCTTTTCAAGTTCTTTGACTATTCTTGCTGATATGATGTGTTCGACTACCTTTCCCATTACGTACAAGAGGCAAAGTGTTCTGTACGAACTAGGATCTTCTTCGTCTTTTCCGGGTTTCTTGATCAGCACTAACCGTCCAGTCTTCCATTTCAGTGGAAATATTTTTCTTTTAATAATACCATCTATCATTTGGCGGAAGTTTTTAGGGAATTCTGCTGTGTCCATTTTTATGATTTCTGGGGGAATTCCATCCGGTCCGGGAGCTTTCTTGTTTCCTAGCTTAAGCTCTTCCATAGTAACTTCTGGGATAGTCTCATCTTCGCCTTGCTCGGGCGCCCATTCTTTTTTACCTTGCTTCGGGAACAGAGTATCAATAATTTCTTTTCTAAAATCTTCTGGGATATCGAGTACTCTTAGTTTGAGCTGTCCCATCACTATCTGATAGGCTATTCCCCATGTGTCTTCTTCCACCATTTCACATACATTTTTCCAAGCTGTTCGTTTGCTTTTAGCGATCATCGTACTTAGGTTTCTCCTTGCTTGCTTCAGGTTTACTTCAATGTTGCGTATATCTGGCTCATTGTGCTGATTTCCTCTCGTTTTGATCTTCTAAGTCTGTTAAATTCGGTTCTTTGCATTGATATCTCTTCCGTCCACCAGTATTTTTTTGTTTTCTGACCGTTTCCTTTATTCTAGGCATAGAAGTGTCACATGCTCCTTCTAGAGCTTTTTCTATTTCCTCTGGATTTGGGTTGTGTGTCGTTTCCAAGTTTATTCTGAGAGATTGTTTGAACATATCTGCTTTCAGCTTGTTTAGTTTCCACCTACGTCTTTGTGAAGTATAGTTCGTGGTGCTATTTTTTCGTGTGATCTCAAAGTATATAAATTGGTGCAGGCTTGCAGACTCATCATCTATTACATTCCATTTTTGGATTTCGTCTTTGCATTTTTCTGAGCTGAAGTGGGTTTGTTTTCTCTATTTTGCACAACAAGATCATTTCTGGAAAGCTATTCTGTAAGTATCCTTCCTTTCCTATCTTCCTTGCGGGATCCCCATTTTGGTGATTATATACAGGGTGTACCAATAAAAACTCCCAGGCCGGATATTTTGGTAACAGAGATATTTTAATTCTGTAAAAGCCAGTTCACAGAGCACTAAGAGAGCTTCAGTTTTAGATATAAATTGATTTTAAATAGGTCAATATGTAGATGGCGCTGCGCTCAATAATTGTTTTTCGATGGGAGGATCTTTCTTGTGTAGCGCATCTTGTAAAAAATGCATTTTTAAGCAGATTTTGTTTTATGAACTAATTCGATATATTTCGCCATTTTTGATATACAGAGTGGGTCACTTAAAATAGTTTCATCCTGTTTTTCAGCATTAATCATTGGATTTTAAAAAAATACTAAAACAGGTCGATTTTTATTTCAAATTAAAAACATTTTTACAATACAGACATCTGTCATGTGTCAACCCCTTTCCTTGTACTTCTCCACACCTTAATTTTAAATAGGTAATGTACCATATATGGCACATCATTAAAAAGGTTATTTAGGGGGGGATTCAGAAATATTTCTGTACATTACGTTACTTAAATTTTATCGCCCTCTAGCGGGATAAAAAACTACAACGTATTATAGAGTGTGATATTACAATGTGTAGTACATCATTAAAAAGGTAATTTTATGGGGAATTTGGAAATATGACTGTTCGTTGTGATACTTTTAATTGTACCGCCCTCTATCGGGATAAAAAACTACGAATTTTAAAGTGTGACATCTTATTTGAAAGCAAATTTAATTACTAATTCAATGTACCACATAACATTAATAACATAATAATAATATAAATATCCATATTGCACTTGCAATAGTTTGAAAATTATTCATGCATTATTTTAAACATTATTGCTTTTATATTTATATTAGTGTTATGTGGTGCATTAAATTAGTAATTAAGTTAGCTTTCAAATGAAGTGTTACACTTTATAATACGTTACAGATTTTTTATCCTGATAGAGGGCGCTAAAATTAAAATTGTCGCAATAAACTGTTATATTTCTGACGTCCCCATAAAATTACCTTTTTAATGATGTGCCGTACATGGTACATTCCTTATTTAAAATTAAGGGGTTGGAGAAGTGGAAGGGAGGGGGTTGACATGTGACAGAAGTCTGTATTGTAAAAATGTGTATAATTTGGAATTAAAATCGATATGTTTTAGCATTTTCTAAAAATCCAATGATTAATGCCGAAAAACAGGATGAAACTGTTTTGAGTGACCCACTCTGTATATCAAAAATGGCTAGATTTATCGAATTAGTTCATAGAACAAAATTTGCTTAAAAATGCATTTTTTACAAGATGCGCTACATAAGAAAGGTCCTCCCATCGAAAAAAAATTATTGAGCGCAGCGCCATCTACATATTGACCTATTTAAAATCAATTTATATCTAAAACTGAAGCACTCTTAGCGTTCTATGAACTGGCTTTTACAGAATTAAAATATCTCTATTACTTACCAAAATATCCGGCCTGGGAGTTTTTATTGGTACACCCTGTATACTTACTTTAGGAATATATTTATAAAATTGAAGAAGCGATATAATTTAGGTAAACAAAACGAACAAAACGTACTCAAAAAATCTACTGGCAGTTTAATTGTCAGTGAAACCATAATTACATCATCACTGAAGAACTAGCGCATTGTCCAACATAACTACAGAATACTACAGATACTTTGTTTAATTAAAATATATTTCTGAAAGAACTCTTCTCAGTACGAATTTGTTTATTTGATTGTAACCTATCAATTAGCCGGGTAATTTAAGTAAAAGTAAAGAACCTACACTGTTAACCCTCCCTGTCTTTAACCAAGGGGTTAATGAGAAGAAAAGGGCTAACACATTTATATCTAAAATTTGAGACAATTTCTTAATTTTAGGTTTGCCGTTGAGCATCTGTCGAAAATTTGCAGGATTTTAAAACAACCAAGAAGTCACGGACTATGTGTTGGCGTTGGTGGATCCGGCCGTCAATCTGTCACAAGACTCTCTGCTCATATTTCCGAATATGAATTATACCAAGTCGAAATAACCAGAACCTACGGCGTCGTTGAGTGGCGCGAAGATATAAAGACAATTTTGAGGAAGAGTAGCAGTTCAGAATTGCCCAGTAAGATTATTATGTAGTTTATCACTATAATTATAATAATAATAAGTTTCAGTATAAGTGTCTATATATACATATATAAAGTAGATGAAGTTCAGCTTGTGCTGATTTACAACTTAACCTTTAAATAACATTAAAATATATTAATATATATTAATATAATATAATAGCAAATTCGCTGCATTATACAATATATTCTTTTAGGACCATTGCTTATTGTACAAAGATTCTTTTAGACGTTTCTTGAAATTAAGCAAGTTATATGATTTAATTTCATTTGTAAGTTTATTGTACTCTTTACATGCAACATACGAAAAACATATTTTAAATAGATCCGTGTTATGATTCGGTACCACCAAGGTCATTCTGTCCCAGGAATCATACTCCAGTTAGTCCAATATTTTTTTTTTTGTAAAAATCTTAAAAGTCAAAATATTTTATATTTATTTTATATTTTTTAATCTATTTTTAAACATTTTTTTAGGTGTTTTTATGTTTTCCGACACTCAAATAAAGGAAGAAGCATTTTTAGAAGATCTGAGCAATTTAATGAACTCCGGAGAGGTTCCTAATATATTTTCTACTGAAGAAAAAATGGAGCTCTGTGAAAAAATGCGGCAGCTCGATAGGCAAAGAGATAAATCTTTACAAACCGACGGTAGTCCTCCTGCCTTGTACAATTTCTTTGTACAGATTGTAAGAGAACAATTGCACTTGATTTTGACTATGTCTCCTATAGGAGAGAGTTTCAGGAATAGAGTGAGAAAATTCCCCGCATTAGTGAATTGTTGTACAATCGATTGGTTCCAAGTAAGTAACCAAATATTGACTTTTTAATCTTTTTAATAAATGGCAAATTGGTATTCGAGAAATTTAACGAAAAGAGCAGAATTCAAAATTTTAAGAAAATTGTTTAAATAACTGTTCTCTATTATTTTTGCTCCTTACATGATTTTCCTTAAAAATAAACAATATTTGAGAAAAAGTGCAAATTTCGAATTTTGATGATAACTCAAAAACAGATAAAGAAAAACACCAAATTTTAAAATTAAGCTTTAATCCAACCTACGATGAGTTGGGCATACTCAAAAGATCTGAGGGATACTTAATAGGGTATCGTTGTTTTTACTTTAATGAATATTTCTGTTATAAAAAAAAATTCTTCAAATAAAAGTTGTGTGCTACAAATTTCGCAAACCACATGATGTTCCTAAAAGTTTGACAAGGAGTGCAAAATTCAAATTTTTAAGAAAATCATTTTAATAAAAATTGCTTGTGATATCATTTTTTATCACTTCTGTCTGATACATAATTGTTCTAAAATGAATCGTATTCGAGATATTTGAGGAAAAGTGCAAATTTTGAATTTTGAAGATAACTCAAAAACGGATAAAGAGAAAAACATCAAATTTTGAACTTAAGCTTCAATCCTTTCTGCAGTAAGCTGACTAGATTTTGGGCATAGTCGGAACATCTGGGGTGGTACTTTATGGAAAGTCGTTTTTATACTTTATGAAATATATCCGTTATTTACAATTGGAGAAGAAAATTCTTAAAATAAAATATATTTGCGGTATCATTCTCTATATTCTCTATGCAGCTTTATGTTGATAAAAACATACCCTCTGGAACAGAATACTACTATGATTTTCGTAATGCAGATTTCTCAGCTATACGCCAGTGTCTGGACGCAATTGAGTGGGATGGCCTTCTTCATGGTAAAGAACTTTCCGATATGGTGTGCATATTCTACGATGTAATGTTTTCAGTGATAGAACAATTTGTTCCAGTGAAAAAAATCGGTAAAAGTTCATTCCCTTGTTGGTATTCTCCGCAGCTTAGACAGTTGTTACGCGATAAAAAGTTAGCCCATAAAACTTATAAATGTACTAAGTCTCCTGAACATTACAATTATTTCAGTCAACTCAGAGCTCAATGCAAAATGTTATCAAAAGAGTGTTATGCTAGTTATGTAAGCCGTACTGAGAATTCAGTTGTAAAAAATGTTAAAGCGTTCTGGAAATTTGTAAAAAATAAGAGAGAAAATAATTCTTTACCTGACTCGATGACATTAAACGATACAGTGGCTTCCTGCGGTAATGACATTGCCAATCTATTTGCTAGTCACTTTTCTTCTGTATACACGAACCAAACGCTAAATTTAAATGGAAGTGAAATCCAATCTGCAACATGTGTATCTTCTTATTTTATCCAAATTTCCAAGATCTATGTTAAGCTGTCAACACCTGACACTAATAAAGGGTCAGGTCCCGATGGAATTCCACCCATTTTTCTCAAAACATTTAATTTTGCATTATCTAGGCCACTTTTTCATATCTTTAACAAATCACTGAGCACAGGTGAATTTCCTGACTTTTGGAAACTCTCTTATGTTACTTCCATTTACAAATCGGGTAACAAATCTAATGTAATAAATTATCGCCCCATTTCCATCCTAAGCACAATCCCAAAAATCTTTGAAAGTATAATAACTGATTTTCTAACTCACGACTGCTCCAATATCTTAAATTCCCAACAATTTGGTTTTTCGCCAGGCAAATCTGCTGAACTAAGCTTATTAACATATGCTAACTTTCTGTCTGAAGCTTTAGAGAAGGGTCTACAGGTAGATTCTGTATATACAGACTTTTCCAAGGCCTTTGACAAGGTGAACCATGATCTTCTCGTTCATAAGCTAACTTTATATGGTATTGATGGGATTGTCTTACAATGGCTCGGTAGTTATCTAACAAATAGGACTCAACAGGTTCGAGTAAATCATCATTATTCCCAAATTTTCCCAGTTACTTCGGGTGTTCCTCAAGGGTCTCACTTAGGACCGCTACTATTCAACCTGTTTATTAATGACATCATAACTTGCTTTCCTAACACTAAAGCCCTATTGTTTGCAGATGACTTGAAATGCTTCAAGATCATTCATGACTATTCCGACACTCAGATTTTGCAGTTGGATTTAAATAAACTAGAAAGTTGGTGCTCTAGTAATGGCATGGATCTAAATACTAACAAATGCCACATTATCCGATTTTGTCGCAGCCATAATTTAATAACTCATAATTATAGTTTATTTCAACATGTTTTGGACCCTGTCGATCAAATCAAGGATCTAGGGATCACCTTTGACTCTTCCATGAGCTTTAATGGTCATATCTCTGCTACAGTTCAAAAATCAATGAAAATGCTTGGCTTTGTAAAGAGGACAACTCAAGACTTCACTAATATAAACACAATTAAAATGCTATACTTCTCTTTAGTTAGGACACAACTTGATTATTGCTCCTCAGTCTGGTTCCCACACTACTTAATTCATAAAAGTAAACTGGATGGAGTTCAAAATAATTTTCTTAGATACATAGCATTCAAGTTTAACATTTATTACAATTATGCAACAATATTTAAACATACCTTCTCTGGAAGTTCGTAGGAAACGAAAAGATCTTACCATACTGTCCAATATTATCAATGGCAGGTGTAATTGCCCCGACCTCCTTTCCAGAATTAATCTTTTTGTGCCGTCACGTACTACTAGACAAATTCAAACATTCCATGTACCTTTTCACCGTTACAATTATGCGTTTAATACTTTTATTCCTAGAACACTTAGACTAGCTAACTCTCTTCATGATATTCGACTTTTTAACGGTTCTGTTCAAGGATTTAAGAACCACTTACTTACATTGAATATTTTAACGTCTCAAGCAATTCCATAAATTTCATTTAACACATTATAATTTATTTGCTGTTCTGTACATTAATGTCCACTGTTTTATCTAACCATTTTATTCTATATTTTACTTAATTTTTATGATATCACTATTCTATTTTATTGTATTTTTTATTTTATATTGTATTTTATTGTATGTAAACTGAATTGGGCTTTGCCCGTAAATAAATAAATAAATAAATAAATAAATAAATAAATAAATAAATAATTTTTGTTGCATACACGATTTCTTTAAAATAAATCGTATTCGAGATATTTGAGGAAAAGTTCAAATTTTAAATATAACTCAAAAACGGATAAAGAAAAAAACACTACATTTTGAACTTAGGTTTTAATACTTTCTGCGGTAAGCTGATTAGATTTTAAGCAAAGTCAGAACATCTGGGGTTGTACTTTATAAAAGGTCGTTTATATACTTAAAATAAATATATCTGTTATTTGCGCTTGGAGTAGAGAATTATTCAAATAAAATGTGTTTCCGATATAATTCCCTATAATACGCTAGTTCAGTGATGATGTAATTATGGTTCCACTGACAATTAAAGTGACAGTAGATTTTTTGAGTGCGTTTTGTTCGTTTTGTTTACCTAAATTATATCGTTTTATCACTTTTTTAAATATATTCCTAAAGTAAGTAGATAACATGCATTAAATATACAATCGTTTACTTACCAATTTACATACCTTTAAATTATTTTTTATGACCTGTAAATAATATTTAGAAATAAACTAAAAACAGTGAAAACGTATATGTCAAATTTATTGATGGTTTTGTTAAAAGTTTGGTTAGAATTAAATGTCAGTGGAACCAAAATGACATCACACTGAACCAGCGCATTGTTTTATACATGAATTTTCTAAAATGGACCGTAATAGAAAAATTTGACGAGAAGTGTAAAATTCTAATTTTTCAGTACTTTCGTTGAAAATTAATATAAATGAAAGTTTCGATCAAGATTTTTTTTTGTTACCTATAATTTTAATCTAAAAATCTTATAAACTAATTACTTATCTAAAAAGTCCTCATTGGACTGTCTTAATTGTTTCTATGGGAAAGCATATCACAAGTTGGCGTGACGATCTATTACACTGTTTTACCTAACATTAACGTTTACTGCACTAACTCAAATGGCTTCGTCCTTTTGAGCCTTCTGTTGAGTGTAAACTTGTCCAGTAATTGCAGCGCTTCTATGTTGATGTAGGAGTGAAGTCGACCCTCACGTTTCGCAGCAAACCTCTTTATTTCTTCTTTAATTGTTGGCATCTTCAGATCTCTATGAAGATAATCGTTTTGATAAAACCAAAGAGGTTAGAAAGGGTAGAGGTAACACAGGAAGCATTTCTCGCTGCGCGAATTTTGCCAAAACCGAAAAACTGGGTGGAAGGAGTAGGGAGGTGTTCTGGGCCGGACTTAAATATTTGTATTGTAGTACCTAATTTTGGTGGGTAATTAAAAGATGAAAAATTATGAGACGTTTGTTTGACTTTATTTGTTAGCACGATTCATGTATGATGAGGGCAATAACACTTTATCAATATATAACTAGCTAAGGGCCGATTCCACCGTTGTGTCAAACGAAGTTTAAATTATTATTATTATTAAAATGACATTGTTAATATAAAAATGTCATTTTAAACTCCATTTAGTAATTTAAACTTCGTTTTTGTTAATATAAAAATGTCATTTTAATCTTCGTTTAGTATTTTAAACTTCGTTTAATAAAACGGTGAAATCGACCCTAAGTAAAAGTTTATAAGTACTTTTTGCTCGAATTACACACAAGATTTTTTCTACGATCACACCAAAATAAAATAAATACCTAAATTTTATTAGAAATGGGTTACCTTTTCGTTCGTTATAATATTTTAAGTTTATTTGACATAGGCCTACTGTTATAAGAAAAAAAAATGTTTTGGTACTTATATCCTGGTAATTATTTATGATTTAATTATTTACGGAAAATACCGTCCAATGAATTAAAATATTAGAAAGTCAATTAATAGTTATTTATGTAACCAGTTACGAAATGCCTTATTTTGTGTAACGAGTAAATATTTGCAAAAC